TTTCCCGAGTTAGTATTTTTCCCGCCCGCGCGCGAGTACTTTTCCTACCCGTGCGTAGCGGGTGACTGAATTTGAAATCTTCAAGTTATACATGGACGGGGAATACAATCATAAAATCTCAGCCTTTCAGCTTTCTGGTTGCCTAGTCCATTTTGTCCATTTTTCCATTTTTCCCTGCTGCTACATTTTGTCTGAATTTTATTAATGGCAGAAGGCAGTGCTTCTATTTAAGTAAAGCTGTTTCCACCAATATAACTTTTTTGAAATAATTCGTGAAAAAAACTCTCTTAAATCAGGATTTGCCGAGAATTTGCCTTTCATTCAGTGTACGCTAGAAGTTTGCAAACTAGCAGTTGAATTTACAGTTTCTGATCTTAAAGTCTTCACAAAAGTACATGTTTTCTAAAGGTGATCGCATGTCTTTTAAACATTTCGCAGCCATTGGTAAAAACGTTTTTAAGTGTGTGAAATTTAAGAGGCTGAAATTTTTCTTGCCAAATCGGCCGCGTAAAGCAAGAAAAATATTCTCGTTAACTGCATTTTGAAAATGCTGAATTTCGAGTTACAGGATCAGGAGCAAAATGATCTGAGTTTATGGGCTGTTCGGAAGAAACATTTTCGCGAAACTGAAGAGTGGAAAAGGAAAAAAAGGCGAGTTCGCACAAAGATAAGAGCGATGGGACGAATAAACTTGGCCCTTATCATTGCTCGGATGCCTGTGAGTTTGCGTTTATGAAATTCAGTTTCTCACAAACTAATTTTGCATTTCCGGGACAATTCAGTTCTTGACAGCTCATGTGTGTCAGCTTAAGGTTTGATCCTAATACCTTTGATACGTGAGTTCATAAATAACAATTCCTGGAGACTATAAAAGAAGTACCCGTGCGCGACCTTATTAACATTCTGCACCGATGCAATGCATTTTTATTGATACAAATGTTTAAATACGGTTACAAAATTTTTTATCGTAACAGACAATCATGGCTTTTTATGACTGCCAAATTTCTTTTCTTAAATTGACTGGTCTGACATAAAATGATTGCTTTAGTCATTATAAGCTACCGATTTTATTAGATAGAGATATAAAGTGATTGTTTGAATCGTGTAGTTTTAATTGCCTGCTTGCTAGTACTATCGAACTCCGGTCTCGCCTTGATGTGGCTTAGATCAGCGCTCACTGTTACGTGGTGTTTCCCTGCATTCCGTTTTTCATAGGCCGATTGATGTCTTTGCCTCAGAACTTGATCCTCTTTTCCAACAGGTATTATCTTTCGAGGAACCTCAATAACAGCGGAACAAAACGCATAAGCAGACAAAAAGATGAAACGAAACGGCGAAGAGAAAGTCTCGAATTACCAGTTTACACAACATGGCAGTTATCACAAAAAGCACTCGAAGCAGAGGTTTCGTACTTCGTGAGGTAGTTTGTATGACGGCTCATGCACATTCGTTACCTCTTGAAGCTGCAAATTCAAACAGCTAAATATGATACTGTCGCATAAGCATCTCGGACAAAATGTAAAAATAGCTGTTTCATACTACTGAAACTTGAACACAGAGAGCGTAAATATACTTACTTTGATCC